GGCTTCAAAGTTTCTCTCCCGGTAGAAAATAGGAAGTGCTGTCGTTGGGTTTTCAGTCGAGGAGAGCGTAAGCAGTGCGGGGGACGACGGCGATTACTAGTTGATCTGAGTGTGTCCTCTGCCAGCTGACGCTGCCTGCCTGCCACCACACTGCCGTGCTGTCGAGGTGTCAGCGGGGAAACAGCGACACTCGATGGTTGTGCACAGGAGAGACCGAAAGGCGGCCAGTGCAGAGCTACAGCGGCCCCTACTGGAGAATGTTTGTATAGCAGGCTACCTAAAGTAAGGGGGTGTCAAACACAAGGCCCGGGAGTCACGGATCGGCCCGAGAAAGAACCCAATCAGATCCACTGGACAGCTTTGGAAAAGGGCGTAATTCCTACTGATAAAGACCTTCGCCACTGCCATTCATAAAACATCATTGTAATTAAGCAATAGATAAGCAATAACAACTAAAGTTCAAAAAGTTCCTGTTTGTTCACTATCTATTGTAGAATTTATATTTTTTTTATAAAAGGTCCATGGGGAGGAAGGGACATTTTCTGAGCAGTGAGCTACCAGAAGTTTATCTGTTATTATTTATTTTTCCTGACATATTTACTGCATTTACTACAGCAGCATTTCTGTATTGTACAAGGGGAAAACCAGATTTACTCATTTAATTGCACTTTTTTATTATAATCAGTTGGATTAAATATGTTAAACATCTTTACCCTGACAAAAAAAGGAGTTTTGCTTGTTCTGCATACTTAAAATCAAAGTGAGCTGTATGTAGCCCATATTGTAAAATGAGTTTTAAATCCCTGACCTAATCCATTAAAGATGCTTATTTCAAATTTGTTTATATAAAAATAATGGAAAAACTCAATCATAGATGTACTGCTGCAGGAATAAACCAGATCCTGCAAATTAAATGTGGAACAAAGAGTGAAAGGAGTTTAATAAATATATTTTATTTGATTAAGACCTTCCATACCCCTGCAATAATCAAATACAGTGAGCATAAAGGGAAGCTAAAGTTCAGTAACCCAGTCATTCCAGTAACAAAAACTGCTGTTGCTGGTTTTTCTAATAGCCATTTGGTTTCCTCAACCTCAACCTCAGTCTGCGACTGGGGAGAGTGCCCGCCCTATGGAAGACATCCTGCATCGTCCCGGTCCCCAAAAAGAACCGGCCCAATGAGCTGAACGACTTCCGACCGGTGGCACTGACGTCACATCTTATGAAGACTCTAGAGCGGCTCTTCCTCAACTTCCTCCGACCACAGGTACAACATGCCCAGGACCCACTACAGTTTGCATACAAGGCGGGTGTCGGAGTGGAGGATGCCATCCTGTACCTCCTACACAGAGCCCACTCACACCTGGATGGGGGAAAAGGCACGGTCAGGATCCTGTTTCTTGACTTTTCCAGTGCCTTTAATACCATCCGGCCCTGTATGCTTCAGGAAAAACTGAACAGGATGGAGGTGGACCCCTGCCTGGTGGCTTGGATCTCCGACTACCTCACCGACAGACCACAGTACGTCAGGCTGAAGGACATCACGTCTGACACTGTGGTCAGCAGCACAGGAGCACCACAGGGAACTGTGCTGTCCCCTCTTCTCTTCACCCTGTACACCTCTGACTTCTGCTACAACTCTGAATTATGCCATATTCAGAAGTTTGCAGATGACACGGCCATCATGGGGTGTATCTGGGATGATCAGGAAGAGGAGTACAGAAGTCTGGTGAGGAACTTTGTCGCATGGAGTCACACAAACCACCTGCAACTCAACACCTCAAAGACTAAGGAACTAGTTGTGGACTTCGGGAGGTCCAGAGAAGGTCCACTGCCGGTTCAGATAGAGGGGGAGGAGGTGGAGGTGGTCAACAAGTACAAGTACCTCGGGCTGTGGGTGGACAATAAACTGGACTGGTCATGCAACACAGAGCACCTGTATAAAAAAGCCCAAAGCCGACTGTACTTCCTCAGGAGGCTGAGGTCTTTTAACATCTGCAGGAAGCTCCTGAGGATGTTTTACCAGTCGGTGGTTGCTGGAGTACTTTTCTATGCTGTGGTGTGCTGGGGGAGCAGCACAGCAAAGAAGGACTCATCCAGGCTGGAGAAACTGATCAGGAAGGCTAGCTCTGTGGTCGGCATGAAGCTGGACACTCTGGTGACAGTGGCAGAGAAAAGGACATTAAAGAAACTGATGGACATTATGAACAATGCTGGGCATCCTCTGCACACGGCCATAAACAACCAGAAGAGTCTGTTCAGTGACAGGTTGCTTCTCCCCAAGACAAGAACTAACAGACTTAAAAACTCCTTTGTCCCACACGCCATCAAACTGTTTAACTCTTCTCTGGAGGGGAGAGGGAGGGGAAACAGGAGGACAAAGGAGGGGGGAACAACTAAGCTGTAGTGCCTCTTCACCTCACTGTACAATACCTTGTGCAATACTTTTGTAAATAGTCAACAGTGCAATAGACTCAATACTTGAAATGTGCAATTCACTTGTATTTTTATTTTTTATTCCTATTTATTCTATTTATCCCCTTTGTATATTTATTTATATTTGTCTCTGTATTTATATATATATGTGTGTGTGTGTGTGTGTGTGTGTGTGTGTGTGTGTGTGTGTGTGTGTGTGTGTGTGTGTGTGTGTGTGTATTTATATATATATACATATATATATAACAATTCTGTAACTGTAACTTCGGTCGTTGCTGTGCTTTTTGGAAGTCGAATTTCCCAGAGGAACCCACCCGAGGGATTAATAAAGTTCTATCTTATCTTATCTTATCTTATCTTATCTTATCTTATCTTATCTTATCTTATCTTATCTTATCTTATCTTATCTTATCTTTCCTCCATCAACTGGCTCATCTCTTTTTGATCCACAGGTTTCTTGCATTATTTAAGAGAAAAAACAGACAAAATGATAAGCTCAGCGAGTAATCCTCCACCAGGTTCAATCAGTTGTTAAAAGTTTATAATGTCGCTGAAGTTCCTTTTATTTGCTGCAATTTTCATCATAATTCGCAGAAAACAGCTGTTAAATTGACATTCAAAGTGTTCACTGACTCAGGACTGAAGCTCCTGCATTAAGTAACTTCAATAAAAGAAAAAAAAAACACCCCACCTTTCAAACTGCACGTAGCTGCCGGTGTCAACATTAATGAGTACAAATAAAATGCTTTTATTTCAACCATTTTTTCATTTAGAGGAATAATTAGGAATAGTGTTGCTTTTTCACATGGACACTTTATTTTATCCAGTGGTCACTGACCTGTATCTCACTCATCTGCTAAGGCTTTTCTTTCTTCCTGTTTGATATAAAACAGAGTAAATAAGAAATCCTCAGATATGTTTTCTTTTGATCTGCTTCTACGCTATTAAATTTACTGCATTATGCTCTTTATGGACATTCGGCACTGCTTATATCTATTTCAAATTAAAAGCCTTTAGTCTTTTACTGCACAGAAACACTTCATTTCTTAACTAGGCTCTGCATCAGGCTAGATCAACAGTTGAAAAAAAGAAGTGCCAGCATGGCTGCAAAGGCTCAACTATGTGCATGGAAGTGGGTGAACATGTGATCACACATAGCACTACATACCTGGACTTGATGTACAAAATGTGTGTGTTGTAATGAAGTGACATCTACTGAAGCAGAGCTGGAGCCAGGCTGTACTTTCATGCAATTCCACCCCGCACCACAAGATGGTGCAGTGAGATTTTTATTTTTGTATTTTTCTTAAACAGGCATGACATTATGACCATATTCGTATTTACAATAACAGCCCAGGAGCAGGAAGCATATAACTGAAAACATCTAAACACACATACTGGTAAAATTCTGCCTCCTGCTGGTGACTGCTTTAGTTACGGTCTGCAGAGAGTAATTAGAGAAAGTACCTATAATGAAATGAATGAAAATTGCCCTATGAAGTAATATCTTTTCACAGTTGCTCAGATATTGTAAAGGAAGGTGTGGAAAGAAACACAGACACATGTATTTTTTTTTAATTTTTTGAAAATATATTTATTTATTTAACAGGGGCGGTGCATGGTAATAAACATGAGTATAAAAATATAATGTAAACGTGCCAGATTGTTGCAAAATTAATAGTTTGCAGCTGTAGCCCCTGAGCAGGTCACAGAAAACTTTAAATTATTCAAGTCACAGTCTAGAAATATATAATCCAAATGCATGTATTATCAGCACACTGGGTTTTTTTCCCCTTATGCACTCACAGACATTGTTGTTGCTGTTTAATGTTGCAGTTTTCTTCAGTCCCTATGTTGTTCTGTTTCACACCTACCTGAATAAAATACACTCACCACATATCTTCTCAAAACCCTCACTCCAGAATCTCCGTATCTCTCTGAGCACCAGTCCCCCGACTCCTGGATTTTCCCTCAAAACAATTTAAACATTCACTCTTTTCTGGGGCCCGGCCAGAGTACAGGTTGGAAGAAATTCAAGCAAACAGAGGGCTGCATACTTTCCTGCACAACTCTTTGCCTAGCAGAGAGAGCGGCCTTGTTGAGGGGGCCCGTTTCAAAGGAGACATTTGGCAAGGAGTCCCTGCTCCGGCTCCCGGCCTCAACTGTTTTCTGTCACTTTTTAAAAAAAAAGAAACATCAGTATTTTTGTTGTCTCCCATCCATCGTCTCTGGAACAAATATTATCCAGGAAGCCAGAGCATAAGCAGCCCGGACTATAATTTTTCTGGTTACACCTACAGTATGTTTTCTCTTCTTTATTAATGAAACAGTTGCAAGTGTCACTGATGCAATAGTTCCATAGATTGTGTCATTTCAGGTCATTTTAATTTCAACTAAAATTCATAGAAAAAAAAGAGAGAAGCAGCATGTTTGCTGAGCTGAAATGAAACCCTCGGCACCTTCTTGTGACTTGGAAGCCCTCTGGCATGTTTGTTGGTTTCAGCCCCTTATCAGATCTGCACGATCACTCCCTCCCTGCACTGAGAAGCAGTCGATATCGCCCCAGGCGCCCCATCCCACCTCTCACATACGTCTTACTCCCCTCTCTCCCTCCTGCTCTTCTTCATCACTCACATCTCTCAGTATTTCAGAGTTTAAAAGATGTCCTGGACGTATGCAACCCTCTTGGCTCTCCTCACTGTGCTTTTTGCACTTTCATGTGAGTATGATGCAGGAGTGAGATTTTTTACCAAAAAAAATTGTCTTATTAGTTGGTTGCAGGCATGAGAAAAACTGGAGTCCTTTTGAATTTAGACCTTTCATGTTTTGTGCTTCGACACAGGGTCTCCGGAGGCCAGCTCTGCAGCTGTGCCCAGTAGCACAGGCAGCACCAAAGATCCTCAAGGTCAGGGGCTGCATCAGCTGCGTTTCTTTCCCTGCGTATCGCCCTGTGTATCACTTTACACTGTGAACTAAACTCCCTCCCGCTTCCACTGCAGGTCCACTGAAAAGGGTCTTCATGAAGCAGGCCGATGCCTCAAACTTCTTCAGAAGACGCAGCAGACGTGGTGTGAAGTCCCAGGATGAGCTGGACGGTGAGTTCACTTTGAGTCAGTTTGCAGTCGTTTGGAGTCTGACATGGTCAGCCAGACTGTGTTTGCACGGTGAAGTCTGTTTGTGGTCAATTCTGGCATAAAATGCTAGAAAATGCTAGCTTTTACCTGTAAAAACAAGAAAAAATTACTTCTGCTAATGTTCTGCTGAATGTGCTTTAGGGCTGTACCTTTAATACCCACACACAATTCAAGATGTGACAGAAATAAGCTACAGTGTCATATGCTGTAATCAGATCTAAGAGGACGTGGACAGACAAATTACCGGCATCAACAGGTCCTTAAAGACTCTCAGAAGAGCTGTTTATGTGTTATGTCATGATTTAAAATCACGTTGGAACTTCTCAGAGAAGTTTAAATCTAGATGTGAGGGACCAAGCAGTGAAGGCATAGAGGACACAGGAAATACAACCTGAAGGTGGGTTCTATTTTATTTTACCCCAATAAAAGAGCTAAACTAAATATGATTCTACTCAAAAAATGACTTACAGAAAATTCACTAGGCAAAAAAAGTATACACAACTTAAACACAAAGACACAAGAGGGTAACTTGGATAGTGGTTTGGCCAAACCGTTAACATACAATAAGGGAAACAGAAATAAACACTAACTAAGCACAAAATAACCTAACTAGCCCTAAAACACCCCCTTGCTGACACGCACATAGTTGGTCCTGCTGAGCTGGCGTTGTGCTTTCAAAGTCATGCCTTTTGCTTAGGCAGGAAACAGCCAAACCAGGTTGAACAAAAGAAAGAGAACCATGATATAATATACATTTAATTTGACAAAATACATTTTAGAAACCACACAGCGCTACTATGTGCGGACTTCATAATATCACTGTTAGGTTTAAGTGAAGAAATGAATGAATGACATTACTGAAATACATTTTTAACTGCAAAACCAAACCAATGAGGTGAGTGGACTGGTTTTTTACCAATGTGTGGCTGAGGCCATCACACCAGGTGTGACTGTAGTTGGTTATAAACAGAAAAATGAGCCTAGAAATGGGCTTTTTGTAAAGCTTTGAATATCTGATTGTTTAAAAGATGGTTTAATTGTCAAAAAGACAGCATGGGTGAAGTACAGGAACATGCAGAAGACTAAAAAGAGCAGGAGGAAATCTTCACTGTTACTTGAAGATTTTTATTTTTATTTTTTGGCACTGAAAGAAAGCCTGATACGTCAGGCAGATAAAATATCTCTGAGATCCACAAGCCTCAACATTCATCATGTGCAGAAGTGAAAAATGTAGTGGTGCCGAGGCAAAGATAATAACGTTTTACACATTTGTCATCCTCATCCTGAACATAAAGATGTTTGATACTGTGATGGGAACAAGTGTCAGAGTAAGATAAGATAAGATAAGATAACCTTTATTAGTCCCACACGTGGGAAATTTGTTTTGTCACAGCAGGAAGTGGACAGTGCAAAAGTTATGAGGCAAAAATTAGAATACAATAAGAATAAATACAGTACACAGCTGTACAGAATAGAATTAAATAAAATACTATGTACAGTAGAATAAAATAAAATAAATATACAATAAGATAAAAATAGAATACAAATACAAATACTATATACAACTGAGTAAAAATACAACGATGACAGAAAGGATTATTGCACTTAGTATTATTGCATATGTATGGATGTGTGTGCTTGATCAGTTAAAGTCTTTATTATGGAGTCTGACAGCAGTGGGGAGGAAAGAGTATTGCTGAACCCCAGTGATGAATGTATTGAAATAGTTTTATTGTATTACTTGTTTTATTAAAAATGCACTTCTGGTGTCTGTATTAATGATGAGATGACTCATAGAGATGCAGCCCTTTTGTTTCCTGACTCTGCTGTGAGGGAACATGTTTATGGCAGCCTGAAGGATTTTATAGTCATGGCAGCCAGCAGCTGTTAACCTTATTGTGGACCTGGCATGAACTTAGACCATCCCAGACCTCAGTTTCCTGTCCTGGCACTGCAGCAGGACACACGGGGCGGGACACACCAGTTTGCTCCTGTCAACGTATTCGCATTACTGAACAATGTGTGGCATTCTTGAGCGTTTTACCGCCGGCTGTTATGCACAGTTTTACCAGCAGGAAGGTGAGAGCGCACAACAATGCTGTTGTTCTGAACTGCAGTTGCATAATGTGCCGTACGTGTGATAACAGCGAGACACTTTGTGCAAAAAACCCCAGAAAAAACAGGAGGAATAAAATGAGCACAAAGCAGAGAACAGACTGAAAAGACAGAGATGGATGAGTGAGTGGGTGAGTGGTTGTGAGTTGAATGTGGAATGTGCCAACACACAGGCAGAAAGGGGTCAGAGGGGAAAAAAAGCAAGTACCAAGTGAGAAAAACAAGCTGCTCACTTTGAAGAGCCTCTCGTGCTGCATTAAGGCATTTACCTGTCCTGCAGTTGGATGAAATTTTGAAGGGAAGTATTTGATAGAGGCAGCTGTTTCAGCTGGCAGATATGATGACATATAGTTTCTAGTCAGAGTTTTAATATCCAAAGATGGACATCGCAGTCCAACAAATGATGCTGTTTGGCTTTTGTGGGAGTAGGTCAGCAGTAATGTGCAGGGTGGATAAAATGATGGATGATTAGCTCTGCTGTGCAATTTCAATGGGGCGATCGTGGCTCAAGAGTTGGCAGTTCGTCTTCTAATCGGAAGGTTGCCGGTTTGAGCCCCGGCTTGGTCAGCAGAGATGGGCAGTAACGCGTTACTGTAATCTGATTACTTTTTTCAGGTAACGAGTAAAGTAAGGGATTACTATTGCAAAAACGGTAATTAGATTACCGTTACTTTCCCGTAGGAACGCTGCATTACTGCGTTACTAAAACCGTGATTTTTTTTGCGAGAATGTTTCATGACAGTGACGTAAGCAAGTGCGCCGTTAGTGACAACAGCTGTGTGCAGATCAACAATGGATCACATATCGATTGTGGGAGAGAGTATGAGCGTGCAGCGTTTAAAGCGTGGAAGTACTGACCTTACTTTGAGTTTGATTCCATAAAAAGTGACAAAAACATTAGCGTCCGTTGTGCGTGGGAAGAAAACTTCTTTTTACAGCGAAAAAAACCCTAAACAAGCACCGAGTGCGCAACGACGTAATGGAAAACTCACAGAGAAACTCGTGGATTCTTCCACTGACCGCTGCGGCACACCTGCACCAGGGTAAACCTCCGCCTACCGTAGTCCTGCTTTACAGGTGAAAATAGAGCAACAGGACCGCTGAGTCTTTGACTTTATTTATTTTCTGCTGTGTTTTACTTGCATCTATTTGAAAGACTGAGTGTAAACACAAAAATATTTTATTTTATGTGCTGGAATGTGCAGAAAATAGGTTTAAATATTAAACAAATTTCTTCCAGTCAGAGAATGTTGCATATAATTAAATTTTTGCTTGATGCATAAAATTAAAAGGTTAAAACTAATAAAACAAGTTTAAAAAATTTGAATTTGAATACATTTTGTATGATGGATTATGCAGAAAAAGTAGAATTGGGCTGAAAGATCTATTGCTTTATTACCTACTCAGGTTGTAAATCGTGTTTTTTAAAAGTAACTAAGTAACTAAGTAATTAATTACTTTTGAAAATAAGTAATCAGTAAAGTAACGGGATTACTTTTTTAGGGAAGTAATTGGTAATTAGTTACTGATTACTTTTTTCAAGTAACTTGACCAACACTGTTGGTCAGTCTCGGTTGTTGTGTCCTTGGGCAAGACACTTCACCCGTTGCCTACTGGTGGTGGTCAGAGGGCCCTGTGGCGCCAGTGTCCGGCAGCCTCGCCTCTGTCAGTGCGCCCCATGGTGGCTGTGGCTACAACGTAGCTTGCCATCACCAGTGTGTGAATGGGTGGATGACTGGATGTATAAAGCGCTTTGAGGTCCTTAGGGACTAGTAAAAGCACTATACAAATACAGGCCATTTACCATTCTGAAAGAGATAAAATATAAAACTAAAGTCAGATGACCTCAGTACTAACTGTGCTGAATAAACTTTCACATGCTGGTGACAGATACTGCTCTGTAAATTAATCTCTAAATCTTTTTCAGTTTGGTAATTTACAACTTGAATTCCAAGCAGCCGCACGTGTGCATGCCAACTTAAGCTGGGAATTCTGATGAAAGGTGAAAGGCTGTTCAACTTTTCCAGTGTGAGTGGTTGCTGAAATTGTGGTTAGGGTGTGGTCATTTGTTTGTTGTCTGTCTACTTGCAGCGAGCAGACAGCTGTCGATGGAAACGGCGTACAAAGTATGCGGTATAACCGGTCTGACAATAGACGTCACAGCTAACTCTGCTGTCACCCCTTGTGGTTCAAAGTGGTATTACATGCAGGTCAGGCCATAGTTCTACTTCAGCTGATACCTCTTTAACACAATACCTAGATATTTTTGGACATAACGTCTTATTACAGCTCGCTTATCAACCAATCAGCTTTCAGCCAACACACAGTATCATCCACGTCCAGCAACATGCAGTTGTGATTGTGCAGGACTGCACAGAAATATGTCTGCGTTGGGTGAAAACCCTCCTCCTCTCTGAAGCCTTGCTTTGAGTGCTCAAGCAGGGCAGAAAAGCACTATAAAAGAACCAGTCCATTTACACTGTCTGCAGGAAAATACATACAATATGTCAACAGACACAGTCGTGGTATAAAATCCACATTACTTGCCCTACAGGAGTGTTTTCTTCATTGTCTACCTGCTGATCAAGGATCCAAGGAGGATCTCTTTGCATACTATTAGGAGACGTCAGTGAAAGTTTTAATTCTTCTAACTATCCATCTATTGTCTTCGACTTATACAATTCATACACAGTGTTTGCCTCACACTTCACAGGTCCTAGCTTCAAACACAGGCGTTTGACCTTTTCTGTGTGGACTTTGCATTTTCTCTTTCTTGTGCTTGATTTCTCCTGTTTGTCCTTCCATTAAAACACAATAGGTTAAAGGTACTTATTAGGTAATTATACTTGTCAGAATTTCAAGCGGTTCTTTTGTGGTTACGCATTTGTCTAACAAGTGGAAGATCCTTGTTTAGTCCCAAAAGGAGACACATATCTCTTTAGGGCATGCACAATCACACTGGATGGAAGGCCATCCAGTGTAAAAAATCCACCAAAGCAAACATGTGGAGCTATCTGCTGTGACAACCCTTGTAAATAAGGGAGCAGTTGAAAGTAACATTCAGTACTTGGCAGAATTTCACTAAAACATTTACCAGTAGGGGGCAGCATTTTACCCACAAAAGGGGTGTTTTGTTTTGTTTTCTTCTGATATGCACTGATATATATATTTTTTATTATTCTCATTTATTTTCTGATTTGTTTTAGCTACACCTAGGGTGCTTTCTGAAGGTAACTCCTATCTCCTATTCCTAACCTCTTTTCCTTGACTTGACTATAAACATCATCGAGATCAAGGGAAAGTGGGTAAGAGAACTGCTAAGGACTTAGGAAAAGAGAAACACCGTGAGAATTGGAACACTCTCACACTCGTCTCTCCTAACAATATGACATTGTGTTAAAACTACAATGTACAGAAGATGAACTACAAAACCCGCATCATATTTTGCCACAGTGTGTTCAAACGCTGTTGTTTTATGGGCGTCATATAAACGAGAACAGCCTGTGAAAAACAGGAGTGTTTTTGTGGTCTGCCTTATGGAATACGTATTTGTAAGAGGAGGAGAGAATATTCTCCTCATCACTTTCAGGAGGAGAATATTCAAATGTGTCACGCAAACGTGTCTGTGGCACACAATTTCTTGCAAATTGCACGCTGAAAAAAAATCCTGTCTTATGCCTGTTGTGGTTGTGATAGCTGCTACTAGGAGAGTTCATTTTTAGGAGGGCGAGATGTTATCAGAAGGAGTGTGTAATCGGCACTTTGCATGGATGGCTCAAAGCTCTTATCGCAGTGCCAAAATTTTGTCTCTGTCCTAAAACTCTTCACGCAGTCGTCACGCTGAGTGTTTAGAGGTGAACGCCACATATTGTGCCTCATGCAAATGCGCCTCATGCAAATGTACTGTTTATAAGATTGAGGAAACCTGCAGTCAGCTGAGACTGAATCACTTGGATGAGTGACAAAACGTTTTTCCCACGTAAAACGCTACGTCCAGATGAACAGAATCAACTTTTGGGGATTTACTTACCTGGATGATTGAGCATGCATCAAGACATATTGTGCTTCAGTCACATGGGATTTTACTGAAACTGAGCAGAAAATAGGTTCTTTTTCTTAGCACTGCACACACAGCGAACAAATTTCCTCTGCTGCATCTGTAAAGAATGAAAGTGTTAGTGTATTAGATTATTGTTTGAGGAATCAGTCAATGACACACCTGCACCATCTTGTGGTTCTAAGTGGTATTACGTGAAAGTACAGTAAGGCCACAGTTTTCCTTCAGTTGACATCTCTTCAGCACAGTACCTAGATCTTTGTGGACATAAAGTCTTGGGTGATGGTTTGCTCACGTTAAACTGATAGCTTATATAATTTTGGCTTGCTTGAAAAGATTTGCTGGTTAAACAAAGGTTAAAAATGATGATTTATATGCCCAAGTAGGTTAAAATGTAAAACTGAATCGCTGCCACAAATCTTCATCCCCTGGATGAAGGAACAGCCCATTCCTCAAGTGATGCCAGCGTGAGAGCAGGCGATCGCATTTCACAGTCTTTGTTACAGAAATCAAACACAGCAGTTACATTCCAAGTCTTATTATTATTATGAAATTTCCTCTTTGTGCTTTTTTTCAAAGCTCAGCAGTGCAATGCAAACGCTTTCTTCCTCTTCTTCTTCTTCATCTTTCTTTTTTGGAACATTGTAATGTGTGAATAGCGAGTCAGCGTGAGACTTTTAGAAGTCAGTTGGGGGCCTGAAATACAATACAGAAGTCTTCTGTCTCCTCTTCAGTGCTTTAGGCGTCTATAGCTCGTCCGTGTTTTCAAAGTGTCCCTGGACGCAGTGATTCAGTTCTGTGGATTTGTTTGAGGGAGCAGTTTTGTGATGTTTAACAGCTTGTGTGAGTGCGTGTAAAAGTATGTGAGCATTAAATTTAAACTGGTTCTCTTTTGTAGCTGCTGTATTTTTCTGCACTTGTACGCAGTGTACAACTTCATGCCTCTACTCTTCTACTTCCTAGCAGCTCCATCTTTCCAGCTGATAGGAAGGCATTAGTGACTCAAATCACCACTTGTTACAACAAAGGTATGCAGAAGAACATCTCTGAACACACACTACACTGTAACTTGAAGCAGGTTACAAGCTACAGCAGCACAAGACCAAACCGAGTCTACAATTTACACATACTCATCAAAATTGGACAAAAGAAAATTGAAAAAAAAATGTTCAGTCTTGATTTCTGCTGTGATGTTCATCAAACAACATGAAGACAGCCTACATGAGTGTGGCTGTTGACTGCCTCCATCCTTTTATGACCCAGTTTGGGCCGACTTTTGTTTTTGTTCTTTAATATCACAATAATCGTCTCACTAACCTGCAGATTCATTTCTTTATCCAACTAGATGACTGGTGAGACACAACTGGACTAAAGTACCTAAATAAAACCAGCTCAAACCTCGACAAATGACATCATGCATCAACTGGGATTATTGACTCTTCTCAAGAATAAATACTTGTCCTTCTGACATTTTTGTACTTTGAAGTCACGCATTAAATGCAGCTCGTATTTCAAAGGAAACAGTCCAGATAGTCACACTGAAAACTGGACTCAAGTAAATGAGTGCTTCAGTAATTTTCCTACCAATTAATCATTTCCTTTTACATCACCTTAAACAAGATTTTGGCGTTCGTGCTTCTTACGCCTTGAAAACCTGACCATTTCATACTTGCTGTGCTTGCAGCTGAGCAGAGGCAGATTTTGGCTGCAGATGAGCGGAAGAGAGAGTTTCACGAGGAGAAGCGGAACGAGTTTGAGAGCTACGCTGAGGAGGAACATGACGGTACGTGGAGCATTTTCATCGGACGCAGGTGAAAAAGAAGAGTTCGTTCGCTGAAATTCTCCTCCTCTACTTTCAGAGCAAAACGAGAGGAGCAGAGAGAGCACCGAGCAGTGGAGGGAGTTCCACTATGACGGGATGCATCCTGCCTACGAGTACAACCGTCACTCCACCTAAGAGTGATAAGAGGAGACGTGCGACTGCTACATAGCGATGCTTTTCCACACAAAATGTGACCGCTAACATAGTAAAGGCAACGACTATGCAATGTATTTTTCATTTTTAACTAGATTAATTATTAATCGATTAATCACGTGGTGTAGAAAATGTTAGAGAAGTGTTTAAAAATGGTCTGACAAAGTGGACAATGAAAACCAGCATAACAAGTTAACATCAATCGAAATGAAGAGCTTTTGGAAACTCATTTACCCCAATTTACAGCTGAGATCTCCTAGATCAGGGATGTCCAACTCATTCTACATCTAACCCTAACCCTGAGTAGGCTGCACAAACTAAACTCCCTTTTCTGTCACTGTAAAAAAGTTTAACTACCATTTAATCCTCAAGATTTCTTAACACAGGAAAGAAAGGTGTGTGATCTCAACAGTGCATCTTAGTTTTTCTACATGATAAAGACATGCTCTTTTAGTAAACTAAAGAAATCTGTCATTGGGCTAAAATTGTAAGAAATAAATAAAATCCAGTTAAAAGCCCAAATGTTTATTCTTTACTTCGCATTTCCCAGACCTGTCCCATGGGCCACATTCCTACAGCCCTATTCTGGCCCCTGTGCCTTATGTTTGACACCCCTGTTTTACATAAATAAAATAAATGTGCAGTACTGTGAAGAAATGTGAAGTGTTTTATTCAAAGTGTTCAACTTTTCTGGATGCCCCGGACTCCTGGATTATAGATAATGCAGTTGGGGGGGGGTATTTGCAGTATGCCATATAAACTGTACAGGCAATGGGTACAAAATCTAACTTAAAGAAAAATGACAACCACCACACATGCAAACAAGCTTCTTTTTAATGCACAAATCTCTACAACTCCAAAGCACATTTCAGTAATAATATGTAATACATGCATACTGAGGGACTTCCAGTGCTTTATAATTTGCTTTCTTTTGCCGATCCAGGAGAGGTGGTGGGAAATATAGGGAAGACCAAAATAAACACAACCCAAAGCTTGTTGAGATTTGTATTTACAGTAAGTAAAAGCTCAAAGTCCATTTTGATATTCACCACATTTTCTTCTCTTTTTTGGGGATAATTCAAGATTGCAAAACCCTCAAAACTGGAGATGCCGTCGTGAAGGGTTTCTTTCTTTTCTCCTTTCATATTGAGCTGGTAAAAATCCAGTGGTTACCACAGAGAAAAATACAAAGACAGATGCCTTCACTGCTCTGTGTGAAAGTCTGCAGAGAGCGAGCGGTAAGGGAGAGAAGGAGAAAGAGTCTTTCTGCTAAATTCAACAGGCTGGTATGAAAGCACAGTGATTAAACACAGAGTGAGTGAGCCGTTTTCAGACCAGCCACTTCACGAGCGGAAGCAGAGCACGATATTTCAACTACTCAACTGGACACCACTGATTGGATTGGTCTCGACTCCTGAATACATTCGCATTCATTTGTAATTTTTTTCATTTTTTTAAAAAACTACAGACATAAATTCACACGTCACTGGTCAACACTTTCTTTACATCCAAATATGATTCCAGGTTTTTAAAGGGAGAAAAAAAACCAAAACTATTTAGCAAGACTGCTTTAAAAGAAAGGAAACATCTCTGGCACATCAGAACAATATGCAGTATTTTAAAGGAATAACCTCACCATGTTCACCGAAACAGCAGAGCTTGATCACTTGGAGTTTGGTCAGTTTCACCTTCACGTCCCTGCAGATCCCTGAGAACTGGTCACAGAGCAACAACGTGTGGTCGCCCTCGTGTGGTTAAAGAGGACTTCACAGTCACGTCAATCAAGTCATCAAATAAAACAGCAATTACAAACTAACAACTAGTAGATACTGTATCGTACAATTCGGCAACTTCAGTTTGATTTAATAACACATTTACATGATTCTGCGACTGGTATTCTTACAAAAATTCATAACGTATTATAAGAAAATAAATATTCCAATACATTAGTGCAACGCAGTAGTCCCCTCAGCGATTTCCGCCATGATTGAAAACACACCGTCCTGCTTCACGTCCACTCACTGAAAAGCTAAAAAGGAACAACATCACTACCGTCAGGAGTTTACGATGCCGTGAGCCAGAAAAAAACCGAGAAAGTTCAGAGTGCAGATGATGTCACAATTAGTAACCACAGCTTGAAGCTTATATTTCACTTGCATAACACAACTCCACTCAGCAGCTCCAGGCAGGACATCGACACAAGGCATACAGTGGAAGGTCCCGTCCCAAAACAACAGAAAAGACAGCAGCTTCAATAAAGAGTTTCCTTTAGTGTGGCACTTCGAGACCAGACACTCTTTTATCTGCCAGGCAGCCCTGATCCAGGCTGAGCACGGCCTCCACACAGTAACACCTTCGGTCGAGAGGCTCCCTTCACCCCACCTCTGTGCTTCCAGGTCTAAATGACAATGTGAAGGGAAGCAGAGGGGGAAGCTGTGCTGATCCAAATGGAGCTGAGCCAGCGCTCCTTAAATTCCTCCCGTTTCTTGTTTTTCGTTTTGGCAGAAACTGATGGGAGGTGGCGGGACGGGCAAACTGGGTAACGACACTGAATCACGAGGCCTGGGATGGGTTTTTTTTTTTCTTCTTTACCCACCCAAGTCTCAAAGCTCCGTGGTCTCCCAGCTCACCTCCCGCGGAACCTGGCGTCATTTAGTCCCCGTGTGGATGACGGTAACAGTGGAGGGTCGTGGCCTGGGTGGCTCGGCCGACGCTGGTGGCTCCTCTCGAGTGGGAGAGGGGGGATCTGAGTCCTGATGGTATGCTTTAGCAGCACATGGCAGAGGATCTATAGGGTGACCTGTGGGAGAAAAAGATTTCCTTCAGCAATGAATCACATGCCATTAACTCTAAGATAAAGAAAGTTGCCAACAAATAATAATGAGCACGACCACAACTGCTTGCTAGATCTCCTGTAACAATTGAACCCTGTAGTTGTAAGTTAAACGAATAAATACTAAAATATTGTAAATACTGGATTATTTAGTCATCTATACATGTTAATCACAACCCACAGTGCAGCTGATTTTTGCGTAAACAGCCTTTGAAAAACAGATCTACAGATGCTTCAGAGAAACAGTGTTTGTGAGCCTCTCTGTACGCCAATAAGAACCCATCATTTTATTCAGCTTCTGCCTTTTTATGGCTACTTGAGCCTTTATTTGATCCTGGATCACATAAATGGTAAAACCATTGATAACACTTTCATGTTGTGCATTACAGCAGAGTGATTCAACTGACAGCGTTCCTGCTGGTTATTTTTATTAGCTTTTAATTTAAAAAAAAAATAAAATCCTCACATTTGAGAAGCCGCATTGATTTTTTTCCCCTTTGTCAAAGATGTGTTTTTGTAAAAGTGGATCATTTTTATAATAACATGCAAAAGTCTTAAGACAATCTGGATTTCTCTATAATTTTCTACTTTTGGTAGCCATCAGCCAGCTTGTGGTACAAGCTGGCTGGACGCTGAACCACTCTTCTTTGCACAATTTAGATCATTTAAATGGGTTGGTTTCCTTAGTCCACAAATTTTCAATATGATTGAGGTCGAGGATTCAGGAAAGCCATTCTAGAAGGTAAACATTAGCTGTCTTTATGCATTACTACACTAGTTTTGATGCGTGTTTAGGCTCATTGTCCTGTTGGAACACCCAGTTGTGTCTAAGTTTCAAATAACTAGCTGGTGATTTGAGGTGAAGTTGAAGAATTTGGAGGAACCATACTGTTGTACCTCTAATTACTGATGACCATTTGAACCAAAAATTTTAAATTTGGATTAATCTGACCTGTTGCCACTGATTTTCAGTCCAGTACTTGTATAATGTGGAATACATCAGCCTTTTCTGTCCGTTTCCCTCCCTTAGATATGGTTTCTTAACAGTCACTCTTCTACTGAGACCATTTCTGATGCTTCAGCGAGCACTGGGCTGATCAACCGAAGCTTTGGTGGATTTTTTTTTCAGTTTCTTAAGAACGTGCCTTTCAGACTGAGTACAGAGCAGCCAATGTCCAAATAAAAACTCTGAAAGGCTTTCAGAAAGCCTGGAGAGCTAATGCTCACGACCACTTTCAAAATCACTCCTTGTTAGGAAAATAGAAAGAAATAGGGGGGTGGTGGCTCAAGACTTTTGCACAGTGTTGTAAGCGCTGACATCAAACTAAATTCAACAAAAAATTAAATTAGGACCACATTTCACATGTTAAACTCCATTTAGACTGTTTAATTTGAAAAAACTCACAGCTCAAGAGCTTGTTAAACAGTTGTCATTTAGCTTAATGAAGTGGGAAGGAGAGTGAAAAGGCTGCGCTGAGCGTGGCGCTAAAACTGAGACGTGGTCGTGTGTGAAATGTCACTCACAGTCCTTCAGGGAGAGCGGGGCGCAGTCCACAGACTGGCTCTTGGCTGGACCTCGGCTCTGAGAGCTGGACACGGAGCTGGAGCTGGAGATGCTGCTGCCAAAGCTGGAGCCCAGCTGCAGGCGTCTCATGTGGCGGATCACAGCGGTGGCGTTAAAGGCTTGCTGTGAAGAGATGTTGTAAACAGACAAGAGTAACCAAGACAGAGAAAATATTAGAATATAGTGTTTTTTTCTTTTGTGATATTGAACAACTGAGAAAAACGAAGTCTCACCCTCCATTTGCTTTTGGCAAAGTTTTTCCTCATCTGTCGACTCACTGACTCGTGTATGTTCTTACACAGAGCAGTGTCTCCAGCAATCCTGAAAACAAAACAAAAAAACAGATCAAATATAAAAGACAAAACAGCATTACCCAGAGGACTTATATTTGTATGTGTAAAATCCTCATGCTGTTTTCCAATTTGCTGCCGTGATTTTTTTCCCCATTCAGCGAAAACGTCTTTGATTGATGGGGCGATGTTTCAGCAGGTGCTCGCACACCGTATCACGTTCTGCCTCATTCATCACAATATCTCGGCACGAAATATCGTCAATGAAAGTCATTTCTCTCAGTTACGACACCTGTTACCGGTGTCACAAGCCACATATTTATATCAGAGGGACCACCTGCCCGAAACCTCGAAAATATGCATCGCTGGCTAAAGGACTTATTGGCCACCTCAGCTGGAGACAGCAGCCCACGCCATTTTTCTCGTTAAGCTCTGATGCAGGCCTGGGAAGACATCCCAATTGTTCATCAGAGTCCACATTCTTCGAGGATCCTTCACGACACCAGCCACTAATTGGCAGCCATTTATTCAGCAGATTTCTCTCCGAGGGCCGGCGATGCAGAGCAGAGGTGGACTCGCGGCTCGAAGCCATGGTGACAGATGACAGTGGGGACAGTGGGAGGACGAGCACTCCGTGATAAATGCGTAAGCCCGGCAATCTGCGTAACACTGCTGTGTAATCGCACCGAGATGTGTGGTTCCCTGTGATTGTCTGGATGGGACGCAGTGTGGCGACGGTCAGTTTCTCACCAGGGGTGCTGAAGGGCCTGATCGCAAGTAAATCTCTTCTCTGGATCCTTCTCCATTAGGCAGCTGATGAAGTCTTTGGCTGAGGAGGGAATTAAAAAACAAAAAGTCAAAAGTTCATCCAGATGAGAAAAAAAACTATATCATTCAGTAACAGGCTCCCACTCCTCCTGCGACCCTGAACTGGATAAGTGAATTTATATGATATTAAT